TAAGTGAAATAAACCAGACAGAAAAAGTTGAGAACCATATGATTTCATCCATATGTGGACTATAAAACCGAAAACAACAAATGAACAAGGCAAATAAACAAAAACCCATAGACATGGACAGTTTAGTGGTTATCAGAGAAAAAATGGGTAGAGGGGGAGGTAGATAAGGGTAAAAGGGGTCAAATATATGGTGACAAAAGTAAATTCAACTTTGGGTATTAAACACACAATGCAATATACATGTGACATATTGAATTGTACACTTGAAACCTATGTTATTTTAATCAATGTCACCTCAATAAATTTAATTAAAAAAAGAATAAGAGAATACACTCTTACTTTATTTTCCAAAGCTATTAAAACTCAATTAAGTGACCTCAGTTTTGGTGACATATTCTTGCTTCTAGCAACAGAACTTAGGAAGCAAGATTTAAAATATACTCACTCTGCCATATCTCTTGAAAATAAATGATGATAAAGATGACATGAATGTGGAAAAGTCAATTTCTATCTATTGGCTTTTGTGTTTGCCATATTATAGTAGAAAAGTTTTAGTAATTAATTAATATGTTTAAAAACATTCTTGGGTTTGAAAAATTATATTTGCCTCTTTTCTATTTGAATATGGTTTTGAATATTTCTAATGTTACTATATTGCTAACATCAGTACAAAATTTACAGGTCTACTAACCAGTGTTTCCCAACTTCAGTAATATTGATATCTTGAACCAAACACTTCTTTGTAATGTCTCTGTCTTATTCATTGTTAGCTTAGCATTCTTAGCCCCTAAACTTTAGGTACCAGTATCACCTCTTTCCACAGTTATGACAATCAAAAATATCTCCAGGCATTAGCAGATGTCTCTTGGGAGACAAATTTCCCCTGGTTGAAGACCTTTGTGTTAGACTAATATACCTGAAAGGCAGAAAATCCTCAATTAGGATTGAGGAACAGAGAATTTGTTTAGAAGGAGATTTACCTAAAGAATTGGCTCATGAGAACAAGACTCTTTCTGCCTTCTACATTGCTTTACCTCCAGATCCTTTCAACAGTACTTGATAGCACATAAGTGCTTAATAAATATTTGTTGAGTAAATGAATGACCCTTCTGAGAGAAGATGTTGGAGAGATTAGACAAAGACATGAAGTGGTTATTGCTCATGAATTGATGTCAAAGTTCTCAGTAGATAGCTCTTAGAAGAAAATTAAAGACACTCTAATTTTAAGGCCAGATTGATGAAGAGATCATCAAATATAATTTCCAAAGGGGAGAGTTGAAGTAATTTAGCACCTGACCTCAAAAAGATGGAAAACTCCTTCACAGACATCCATAGACTTCCATAAATAGAATACATTACTAATTATTAACACTTAAAAACCTCTGGGATTTTGACTGCCATAGAAGTTTGGGGATAATGTGGATAATCTAATGATTAGAAAGACTCCATCATAGAGGGTCCTTATATTATCCAATATTTAATGATAAATTAAGGGGGACGACGTGTTCAAAATATAAGGAGAGTAATTTTAAAAATTTTCCTTGATGTGAGGCACATCTGTATATTTGAGTTAATTCTACACACAGGGTCCTTCTGTAATTCTTTCCTTTAAAACTAGAAAAAAAAACTTAATTACTTTTTTAAGTTAATTACTTCTTCCTTAGAAATTATTACCAATCCCAGATTTCTCAATTAATGACATATTTTTTTTGAGAAATGCTCTTCTACTGATTTGAAATAAAGGTTATTAGTTCAGAGATGATCTACTACAAAATTTTGGATATTAGAAATCATAATATTATACTCTTCTAAACTACTATATTGAGTCAGATTAACTTTGTGAAATGCCCAGACCAAATTCTAGCAGAAAATATGTGCTAAAGTTCATTAGTTTATCCAACAAATATTCACTGCTGCCCCAGTCTGTGCCAGGCACCACTCTAGGCATTCGGAATGCATCAGTGAATAAAGCAGACAAAGAATCCTGCCTTGGTTACATGCTAGTGGAAAAATAAAAAAAACCAATAACAAAAAATTATAAGTAAGTAATTTATATCTAGGTTAGAGAGTAATTCTTTGGAACAAAAGAAAAAAAAAAGGCAAGCAGGAGAATAGGTAAAAGCTTCACTGTAGGTAGAAAGGAAAATTGTAGAAGGATTGCCTGAAAATTCCTCATGGAAAAGTGGGTTTTTAAGCAATGATGTGACAGTGAAGTAATAATTCACTGGATTCCTTGGGCATTCCAGAAGGAAGGACCATCAGTGCCAATCACTGAGGTGGGTGCATGCTTGGCATGCTTGAGGTACAGCAAGGAGGCCAGTATTACACAGCTCATAAAAGGTGAAGCTGAGATTTAAACGCAAGTTGGCTGACTCATGGGCTCCTTAAATCACTGTCTCTGATATAAATTATTTTTTAAAAATGCAAATAATTGCTAAATGCCAAGTAAAAGCAATGTTTCTAAACTAAATAAAGAATAGCAGAATAAGAATAAGAGAACAACGATATAAAATCCTATATGGTGGTTCAACTGAATAAATTAATAGAATAAAATTAATTTATTTAAGAAAAGAGAAGATCCTGAAGGCCTGGGTCAACCTAATCTTTCAGTCCATAAATCAGAGGAGAGGTCTAAGCATAATATATAAAAGAAGTAAGGAGGTGGATTCTAGTTGGGTGAAAGGAAGCTTAGATCTCCCTAGAGTTAATACCATCATCAGGCATCATTCACAGACTCATTAGTTCCTCATTAACATTAAAACTTCTTTTGCCAAAGTATCAAAAGTATGCAAGTTTTTATTTTCTTTTTAAATTAAATTTATTGGGGTTACATTGGTTAATAAAGTTATACAGGTTTCAAGTATACAATTCAATAATATAACACTTGTATATTGCATTATGTGTTCACCAACCAGTCAAATCTCCTCCCATCATCATATATTTAACCTCTTATACCCTTATCTGTTTTCTTCCCTCCCCTCTTTCTCCCTGGTAACCACTGAACTATTGTCTGTGTCTATGAGTTTTTGTTTGTTTGTCGTGTTCATTTGTTGCTTTCAGTTTTATATCCCATATATAAGTGAAGTCATATGGTTCTCACCATTTTCTGTCTGGCTTATTTTGCTTAGCATGATAACCTCAAGATCCATCCATGTTGTCACAAATGGCAGCATTTCATCTTTTCTTGAGTAGTATTCCATTGTATAGATGGACTACATCTTTATCCAATCATCTATAGAAGAGCACTTAGGTTGTTTCCTTGTCTTGGCTACTGTGAAAAATGCATGACCCTCATTGCTCAGTTCTCTGAACCCTTATCACCAAAAATATTCCTTCTGACATTTTTAGTGAACACTATCATTAACAAAAATTTGTCAGGAATGGTCTCTAAGGAAGAAAACATTATGTAGAAGGAAAATCTACAGAGGCCAAGGACATAATTTGTAAAATGCACACCTTTAGTGCAATGAGAAGCGCGGACTGCACAAGAATCAGTAATATCCGTAGAAGAGTAAGTGAAAATGCACCTGCATACAAGCCACACCTTGAATGTGTAAAGATTTATGGTAAGTTAGTGCTTGATTTCGTTTAATAAGTGGTTTTCATTTTACTTTCATTTACTACAATTGATGTTTGCCAAATGCTTAGGGGTCTGGGCCTTAATTATTTGGTTCATTTTCAGATTCAACTCATACTTAATAAAACATCTGTTATATTCCAAGCACTTTTGCATACTTTCTAAATAGTCTCCTAAAACCCTGTTTCATTTGAAATGATACCTAAACTTTATATTATTCAATTCTTTTGTGTGTATACTACTTTTCCACCTACCATCTCCATGAAGATAAGGACCTACTAAAACCACATTGAGCTGAACATGAACTCAAGGCACCATCTCTTCTCACTAATTGCCTTTTCCCACAAATTGTCATTTTACTCATAAATGGCTTTCTAGAATTCTTACTTCTTCTCTAATTATTAAATAGATTTATAGATCGAAATGAGAAAGTTCAAGATGACACTGGGCAAACCACTGTTGTAATTACTTTTACCTTGGAAGTCATTTAATCAAAGGACTAATAATTAAATGTGCACCAGCACCAGCAACTGTATCAAACAAGAGGGAAGATCTATATATTCTATACTGGCTTCTCTCTTTTTGGGAAAAACAGAAATACCAATATTGCTTAAGGCATATATAAATATTTTTAATTTGCACAACTTTAAGAATTTCGAGCTTCTCTAAGAAAAAGGTGGAGAACCAATAATTTGACTGTAGTTACCTCAATGTGCTACAAGGGAACTCTTTGGAAGAAAAATTTTTTTTTCTTCTTTGAAAATGTAATACTCTTCATGCATTTAGTATTTCAGTGTAAAGCATCTTTAACATTTTTTTAAAATTTATTTGGCCAAGAAGTTAAGGTCCAAGGAGGTTCATTGGAGATTTTAGTTCCCAGTAGAAACAGATGAGGTATTATAATTTTGAGTTCTTAATTCTTAGTATTGGACAAAAGCTGCAGCATTTAATTTGCTTTTTAAATTAGACAGAAAATCCTCTGTCATCTTCTCTCTTTTAGCTACCAAAAGACACCAATAGAAATTTCTTCCCTAATCTGAGTATATTCTCTGAGTACTAAAAGAATAGTTTTCCAGGAACTTGGAAGAATATCTACCCATTTGAGATGAAAGCTCTGTTTTATTCTGGGCTTGATGCTTATTCAATTTCAAGTGAATTGAAGGTCACAATTAATTAAAAGCTAAATATCTCCTTCCTGTTTAGTCATTCTGTGCTCACCATCTGTGGGTCCCAGGTCTGGCTGTGATCCAGGCTTGCAACCAGGGATAGAACTCTGGATTAAAATGTTACATTAATGTAATAAGGCGCCTGAGCCTGACTTATGCAAGTATGACTCAGCTCATTGTTTGTTACACATGTGTGGCAGAATACCACTATTGTTCTCTCATATATATAAAGCCTATGCGGTCCCCTAGTGCAGAAACCCGCGCTCCCTGCCATAAAGTTGATGCCTGCCGTTTCATTCTTATGTCGGCTCCTCGTGCTGACCTTCAACTGGGCGTCTCACCACTGAAGCCTTCCCTTCTTGATCAGCTCAGCGTTGACACTTGGCGTAGCCGGCAGGATGAGGTGAGTACAGTCCCCAGCGTTCCAGACGGTCCCGGGTGAAGGATATCCGGGTAGAGGATACCCCCTACCTCCCAGTGGTATCCCATGGCTGAGTATCTGGCTACGTGGATGTCCCCGGAGGATTGGGATGGAGCAAGGCTGTGTCCAGAGGACATCCGGAAAGCCCTAGAGTTGCGGGAGCTGAATGTCCCGATCACTCACCAGGAGGCAGCGGGTCAGGTGACCTGGATGTTCCTGGTGGTTCTGCGGCAGGCCAACCTTGAGGTTCAGGACCAGTCTCAGTGGGTGTAACAATTGCAACGACAGAAAGAAGCACTAGAAAGGCAGCTGGCTGCTGCTGAATGCATGCTGCAGGGCCCTGACAGTTCACTGCCATCGTCCAGGTCTGGGAGCCCGCCAGCAATACCAGGGCAGGTGCAGCCCATGATACGACAGCAGGTTGAAGTAGAGCAGATATTGTGGCAGGGGGCTGGGGGATCTGGCGGCATTCCCCAGGCTAAAAAGCATACCACCTTGATCCAGTACACCCCCGCCGAACTCCAGGACCTGATAAAACAGGTACGGCAGAGAGCCAGAAGGTGGTTCTGGGTGGCTGCTGCAGCCGTGGGATGACAGGGCTGAAGGGACTGATCTCCAGAAGAGTTGGCTCAACTGGCCTCCGTAATGGTGATACCGTCCCTCAGGCAGCGCCTCCAGAATGAGGCACCCATGGCGCAGGGTGCAGGCAATCACTCCCTCATTAACTGGCTCATGTCTGCTGCACTGACAGTGTGGGCTGACCCTGAGGAGCTGCCAGAGACAGTGAGCAGATGGACCACGTGCTTAGATCTGGTCCAGATAATTCGGGAAATGGACATGCGACAGATGATGTTTCGTGCCCAGTACACTATCCCTGATGAGGAGGTATTTACAATCCATATAAAAGACTTGATCTTGACCTCTGGCCCGGCTGGTACCTTTGGCACCATGGTAGCACTGCTGGCCCCTTATATGGATAGACAGATCCACGAGGTAACGTCTGCCACAGCAATGTTGGGGGATGTGGAAGTGAAACGCAAGGAGCATTCCACCCAAGTGCGTGCTGTGCCACCCCCTGCACTCCCAAACCAGCTAGTGCAAGGATGGAAGCATGGCCGAAAAGAGGGGGTGGGGCAGCACCCAGCCCAATCAGCTGTGAAAGTGAGCTGCCGGGGAATGTGGTTGGATCCCCTCGCAGTAGGGGTCACACAGAAAAGATCAAGCAGGACCTAAAGAAGTGCTGTTGGCGCTGTGGAATCAGCTGCATCCTAACCAGCAGTTCACTCCGATTCCTGGGAAAGCCACAACCCTTGAAGTGTAGCTGGCCAATTATCTCCCTGATTAGGGATTCTGCTGGGACACTCAGTTGGCTGGGGAGCCTATTGACCAGAGGCCGTGTGTGGAACTGACTATACATTGGTCCCCCCACAATGTGCAAAGGATATTAGCCCTCTTAGACACTAGTGCTGACAGCACTCTGCTCTATGGGAATCTAGACAAGTTTTCCGGGCCCATTGCAACCATAGAAGGTTATGGGAATCAAATCATTTGCGTGCGGCAGGTCTCTATGATATTGGGTATTGCCAGATTGCCTCCTTGGACATACCAAGTGTACATATCCCCTCATACAGGAGTACATTTTGGAGATCGATGTTTTGTGAGGCTTGACTGTGAATACCACTGCTGGTGAATTTCGCCTTAGTATCTGGGTGGTGAAAACTATTTTTCCGGGACGTCAACATCATGCCCTGTTGGTGTTGCCCCAGTCTACCCAGGTAGTGAATACAAAGCAGTACTGCCTGCCAGGTGGCCATGAGGAAATAGGACGCGCCATTCTGAAGCTGGAAGAGGCCAGTGTCGTTTGTCCTACTCATAGCCCATACAACTCCCCTGTGTGGCCAGTGAAGAAGCCTAATGGCTCCTGGCACATGAGAGTTGACTATTGGGAGCTGAATAAGGTTACATGACCCCTGCATGCAGCCATACCGAATGTCATGGACATCATGGACCGGTTATCACATGAACTTACGCCATTCTGAAGCTGGAAGAGGCCGGTGTCGTTTGTCCTACTCATAGCCCATACAACAACCCTGTGTGGCCAGTGAAGAAGCCTAATGGCTCCTGGCACATGAGAGTTGACTATTGGGAGCTGAATAAGGTTACATGACCCCTGCATGCAGCCATACCGAATGTCATGGACATCATGGACCGGTTATCACATGAACTTAGATGATACTATTATGTGGTAGACTTAGCAAATGCCTTTTTCTCTAGCCCTACACTATGCCATGGTCTCGTGGCTTAGGAGTTTGCCACATGGAAATGACTGCCTGTAGTGTACTTATATTATATATAATGCTAACCTCTGATTCTTTTGCAGGACTGGAAGCAGTGACAACCAGCCTGCAAGGGGCTCTTGCCAACTGGGATTGGGCAGTCAACAAGGACAAGGTCCAGGGACCTGGCTTATCTGTCATTTCTTGGGATTTTTCTGGTCAGGTAAGACAAAAGTAATGCCAGAGGCAGTGATTGATAAGATACAGGCATATCCCCCACCTGACACTGTGAAGCAACTGCAAACTTATTTGCGACTGCTGGGTTTTTGATCCCTGAACTGTTTAATGCCACAGGATGGCCAATGGGATTGGACCTCTGAGATAGAAGAGGTCTTTAAGGCTGGCTACAAAGTACACTGTAGCACAAGCCCAAACTCTACATGTAGTAGATCCAGCCCTTCTATTCCTGCTTATGGTGCAGGTAGATGATGCAAGGTTTGGATGGGACTTATGGCAGAAGCACGGTTCCTGGAAGGTACCAATAGGCTTCTGGTCCCAATTGTGGAAAAGTGCAGAAGTGCAGTGTTTTTTCAAAAAGCGTGGGAGTGTGGTCTCTTGTTAAAGAGATAACTGGCTGCCATTATGCAACCCTGCTGGGTCAGTGAGGCCACCCTGGACATAATCCCAAAACCTGTGGAGGGATGGCTGCGGCCTCAAGGAAGATTCCTTGTATGAGAATTGCACAGATCCCTACACTATCCAAGTGGAGGAATGTGGAACAGTGGGCGCAGTTCTCTGCAAGCCCCTGTCAGGTCAACTGCACCCCCTATTGGGACAAGTGCAATTCTAAGCAGAGCTCCTGGAGGAGCCTGCTGAAGTGGGAGATATACCGAGTCCCTATGTAGAGGGTCGGACTCCCATCCCTGAGGATGCAACTGCACCCACTACGGGGACGAGTGCAGTTCCAAGCAGAACTCCTGGTGGAATCTGCTGAGAGGAGGGACGTACTGAGTCCCTATGTAGAGGGTCGGGCTCCCATCCTGAAAATGCTCAGTGTACAGACAGCTCATGCCACGGGCAACCCCCGACATGGGCTACTGTGGCATTAAAGCCATCCACAGAAACCTTTTGTTATGAGACTGGTGCTGGGCAGTCCAGCCAATGGGCAGAGCTTCGCGCTGCCTGGTTGGCACTCATGAATGAAATTGGCACAGTGCACATCTGCACTGACAGCTGGGCTGTGTATTGAGGTCTAACTCTGTGGCTGCCCTAGTGGGCTTCCCAGGAGTGGATGATAGGCCACTGCCGGGATTTGTGAGAAAACCTCTGGAAGCGGGATCTTCAACAGGGGGCCACTGTATAGTATGCCCCCCGCCATCAGCTGTTACAGGCCCAGGACAATGGTGTAGCCGATGCTCTGGCACAAGTTCACTCCATCCGTGTACCACCGGTTCCTGCGGACATTGGCCCCTGGCTCCACCAAAAACTGGGGCATGTAGGGCCCATTTATGAAACAGGCAGCAAAGTGATGGGGGCTATCGTTGACCCAGGCACAAGCACAAGTTGCAATGTCACAATGCCCCTGGTGTGCTGAGCAGGATCCAGAGAGACGGTGGGTAAAGAGCACCCTGGGAGTGGTGCCCCGCGAGGCTAAGCCACTCCAGGAATGACAAGTGGAGTACACAGGGCTTTTGCCTACAGATCGGGGACACCACTATGTGTTCACAGGTGTGGACATGGCTACCGGTCTAGGGTTTGCATGGCCGGTGACAGCTGCTGATCAACGCCATGCTATGACCACTTTGGAGCATCTTGCAGCAGCCTAGCCCAGTCCTTATTAATCTCCAGTGACAGAGGCACTCATTTTACTGGACAGGAGATGCAGACCTGGGACTGCACCAGTGATGTATGACGGCAGTTACATGTTCCTTATCACCCACAGCCAGCTGGAACGGTAGAGCGATTCAAGGGTTGTTGAAGGATAAACTGCACCTTGGGTCCGGGCTGGTGCCGTTGGTATACTAACCTCCCACAGGCTATACGCCTTCTGAATGAGCAGCCCTGGCGAACGAGGTTGTCTCCCCTTGACAGGATTGTAGCTGGCTTGCTGCGGGCTATCAAAGTGTGCCCAGGCACCACTGCTAAACATTTCTTGCCTGGAGCCTACCAGGGAGCTTTGCTCCTGTCATCCCCAGAACCTTTGGCAGCAGGTAAACAGGCCACCTGGTCATGGCCCTGGACTATACAGGTAACACAAGAGCCGTGGGTGGCCTTGGTGGAGCCCTGGGGACGGGACTTATGCAATGGGTTGCAGGTAGAGGCCTGGATTTGCATTTGGCCCACGCCTTTATGAGTGTCACTCCCAATAATGGCGGAGGGTTCATTGTTAACAAAGAGTTTTGTCCTTATCCTCTGACCCATTCCTCTCCATACTGTGACACCAGTGGAGACACCCTAGCCCATTACTCTTGGAGAAACTGTCTGGTACCACAGGCCAGGGGCAGCTCCTCTCCCAGTCACTCTTCTATCTCAAGGTGGGCAGGTGGCCTGTGTCCCCCTGGAAGGATGGGAGTTGCCCCTAATGGTCCCTTTGTCTGCTCATCCTATCGCCCAGGCTGACAATAAGGAACAGTGCCATGTCCTGGGCTCACATGTTTGCTGCTGTCCACAATGTTTCCCGCTGCTGAGTGTGTACTGAACTACCAGTGGAAGTGGCCAAGGGACTGCCATGGCACGTTACTCTGGCTACGATTGAGAACTGGATGTGGCTGCGCACCTGGAACACCACACCTGAATGGGACCAGCGATGGCGGGCCGTAGAAGCGCTGCTCCACCACGATCATCGCAACTCCCCACCTCTCATGAGCTATGCCATTTCCAATGGGTGGGGATGGCTGGTGGGAGAACATGTAGAATTGCAGGAGCAGGCCCCCCATTGCATACAGCAAAATCTGTGCCCAACTCTATCATGGGGTGGCTACCCCCCAAGCTGTGTGCTAACACCACCCTTGCTAATATTTCCAAGGTCTGGTGGGATAGGTGACGTTATGTTGGTATAGCCTACCGACTGGCTACCTGCAGGGTATCTCTGGGTCTGCAGGCACTATGGCTGGCCCTACTTGCCCGCTGATTGGACCGGCTATTGTACCTGGTGAAGTGCCTATTTAGCTGGATGCATATTATCTACCTTGCCCCAATTGCCTTGTAATTGGGATCCCATATATCACCCCTGGCACTTGGAGAAATGGGCAGCATGGTGGTTCTACCCCCTGGTGTTATTCATTCCAGGGGTGGGATCCATAGATGTAGAATTGCGGGTAGAAGCTTTAGCCCAGCATAATGCACAGGCATTGAATGCTACGTCAGGCTATAACTCTTTTAATGGATGAAACCACCTAAATGCAGAAAGTAGTTTTGCAAAACCACATGGCTCTTGACCTTCTACCGGCTCCCCAGAATGACACCTGTGCCTACTCCATGTAGAATACTGCATCTACATTCCTGATCATGCCAAACAGGCACAGGTAGCTCTCCAGGAAATAGATGCTTAAGTCCAAGCCATCCATGGGAGAAGACCTGGGAGAAGACCTCTTGACAACTTGGTGGAATTCCTTGGGGTCCTCCAGCCAGTAGACAGTAGCCATCCTAGCCCTTGTAGCCTGTAGCCTGGTAGTATTTTGTTGTTCTTTAGGTTGTTGTTGTGGATTGTGGGCCCAAGGTAGTGCCATTCAAGCCAGATCTCGTGCCACAACCCTGTAGGGGTGGAGCATGGGTTCCAGGTCTGGCTATGATCCAGGGATAGAACTCCGGATTTAAAATGTTACATTAATGTAGTAGGGTGCCTGTGCCTAACTTATGCAAGTATGACTCAGCTTATTGTTTATTATGCATGTGTAGCAGAATGCCACTATTGTTCTCTGATATATGTAAAGCCCATGCGGTCCCCTAGTCCAGAAGTGCACGCTCCCCACAATAAAGTTAGTGCCTGCCGTTTCATCCTCATGTTGGCTCCTTGTGCATTCTTTCAACTGGGCATCTCACCACCAAAGCCTTTCCCTCTTATCAGCTCGGTGCTGACATCATCAAATAAAATCAAATCCTACTTGGTCATTGTTTCATGTAGAAGAGGATCCCAAGAATGTATAAACAAGAACCTGCTTAGAAATATCACCCAAACTGATAGAGCTGAAAGGGAAGTTAGAAGACATCCAACACAAAAATATACTTTGATGAACTCATCAGTGAACTAATACGAATGAGGAAAAGTTCATTGATTTAAAGTTACATCAATTAAAATCGTTCTAACAAAACAAAAAGATTACAGTCTTAGAAGAATAGATATAGGTGGGTAGAAAAACTACTTGAAAAAATAATGATTGAGAATTTTTCAAAAATAATAAAAGAAATCAAATTACATATTCAAAAAGTGCAAAGAACTCTCAGCACAAAATATCAAAAGCAGAAATTCATTTTTAATAAAGTAAAAAATAAAAAGAACAGATATATTGTAATCAAATAACTTAAAATAAATGATTAAATCTTAAAAACAGCCTAAATAAAATGATGTATTAAGTACATAGAAACAAAGATAAGAATTACAGCAGACTTCTTATCAAATATATGCTGCTAGAAAACAATGAAGTGACATCTTTAGGCTACAAGAAATGTTAAAGGAAGTTTGTTAGGCAGGAGTATAATAACTACATGGAAAATGATCGAAATGAAAAATACTAGAAAAAAACATAAGTAAAATAAATATAAAATGTTTTAAAATAATTAATCTCACTTTAAAAGATAACTGTCTAAAGCAAAAATAGGAATAATTTACTGTGGGGATTTTAGCATAAAGTATAGTGTATAACAGCAGTAACACAAAGAATGGAAGAAGGAACTGAAATTATATTTTTATAAAAATCTTACATATATGTTAAGTGGTATAGCATTATTAGAAAGCAGAGTGTGAAACATAAAAATGCATATTGTAAAGCCTAGATAGCCACTAATTTTTTAATTAAAAAGATTAAACAAAATCCAATAGTGAAATAAAAATTAATCATAAAAGGTACTCAATTAATCCAAAAGAAGGCAGATAAAGAGGGCATATAAATAGTAGAGACAAAAAACAACCAGCAAGTGGATAGATTTAAAACCAATCATATCAATAATTAGGGTACATGAAAAATAATCTAAACACCTCAATTAAAAAGAAAGATAAACATTGTCACATTGGATAAACAAGACTTAACTATACATCTATAAGAAATTCCTTTTAATGTAAAATGAACATATGTTAAAAGTAAAGGCATGTAGAAAATACACCATGAAAACACAAATCAAAGGAAAGTTGGAGTGGCTATATTATCAGACAAAATAGACTCAGAACAAGGAATATTACTTTACATAAAGAGTGTTATCACATAATGATAATGAGGTCTATTCATCAAGAAGATGTAGAATACGAAAATATGTATAATACCTAATAACAGAGTTTGAAAATACATGACACAAAAGTGGTAGAATTTAAAGGAAAAATAATTTTACAATAAAGTGTGAGTATTCAACATTATTCTCTCAGTAAATCAATAGGGTAGGTAAATAGAAAAACAGTGAGAATATGGAAGACAGTGAACCAGCTTAACCTAATTGACACGCAGCACCCTTCATTTAACAAGAGCAAAATGTATATTCTTTTTAAATATATAAGAACATTTACAAAGATATACCATATTCTAAGCTGAAAAGCAAATCTCCACAAATTTAAAATAATTTAAACACACAAATTATGTCATTCAATTAAAAAGAAATTAAACTAGACATAGACATCAGTAACAGAACGTATTTGTAATATGGCAAATATTTAGAAATAAAAGCTTTTTTCTAAATAGCACAAAGATTAATGAAAAAGTCACAGGGGAAATTTAAAAATATTCTAAATAAGATAGATGAAAACATAACACATCAAAACTTATGGGACATTACTAAAGTAGTACTTATGGGGAAATTTAGAGTGCTAAATGCTTATATTTCAATGCCAAAGAAGGTTTCAGATCAACATTGCTAACCCCATTCCCAGGTTCCAGGTCCCTGCCTGCATGAGTTCTGCATGGACAATCTCCTTCAATAGCAATCAGGTTCCATCCAGCCCAGAGTAGTCTCTACAGTGTACTTGTAAGATCCAAGTTAACTTTTCTTCTTCCCCCTCCCACTTCCACTCAAGGGATTTTTAGGGAGAAAAAGAAAGTTATCCTTTGCTACCTGCTTTTAATCTCTTAAAAGGAATTCTTTATTTTTCTAAAACATTTCTCCTCAGGAATCAGAAATGAATCATATTTCTTAAACATTGATTAGTTGTTAAAGTTTCTGAAAGAGTATACACAAAGGCATTTCTTCCGAGGGAAACTTTTTTTTTATGGTGACATTGGTTAATGAAATCGAGAAAGTTTCAGGTATACAATTTAACAGTAAGGCATATATATATTGTGTTGTGTGTTCAACTCCTGAGGGAAAGTTTTGAAGTAGAATAGCTCAAAAATGTTTTCATCTTATTTTGTCTTTCAGAAAAGGGGATGAGGAGGTGAAAGAATATTTATTTATTCAAATATATTATATGAATTATTTTTCTACCTGCTTTTTATGTGAATTTCATATTACTCTCAGCCCTAGAAGGGAGTCTAACCTTTAGAGAAAAGCACATTGGTAAATAAAGATTGATACATCCTACAACTCCACATAGTGTTTGGATAAGCCCAGAATATAAAAGGTGCTTTCTTTTCTCTTTCGTTTCCCTCCTCCCTCCCCTTCTTCCTTTCTTTCTCCTTTCCTGCTTCTTCATTTTCTTTTTCTTTCTTTCTCTTCTTTTCTTTCCTCCTTCCCTGCTTTCCAAGCAGACCAATGTCTGTTGCAGACTCATATATTTCTGATTGGACCAAAGAATCAAATGAAGAAAGCTGAGTTTGAGCAATAATTGAGAAATGTTTGCAGATAAGTTGCTATTTTATTTTGAGTTGAGAGCTGAGATTCTGGAATAAAATGTGAAGAAAATTTTGCTGTTTAGTACTTGGTTTGGAGGAAGGGAAATCCAATTCAATTATTTAAGAATCCATTAGCTAATGAAGTTTTATTAGCATTACCAGAAAAGTTTGGCTTAAATGTATGGGTGGGCAACTGTTCAGCTCAGAAGAGACCAAATAAAGGGTTTGAATAAAAGCCAGCTTCATTTTAACATTTAAATAAGTTAAACATGTTTTCATATTTTGTTAACTTCAAAATACAATAATATTATGTTTAAAAGTTTATTAAATCTTATTATATGAAAGGAAAAATATGACCTGTACAAACTAACATTGTAAGACAGATGTATTGTTTGATGAGGATCAAACATCTGAGAGTTGGGCTAAAGAAAATATAGCCATCAATTTTTCTATCTGAGCACAAAGCTTCTGAATTTGTAATTCCTTGTTTTGAAAGGTGAGTGGGTGTTCAAATTCATTGAGAATCTGCATGTTACATGTTCATGAATAAGGAATTCATTAATAAGAGTGGTCTATTTATGGAATCTATAAATTCCTGCTTCTCTAATTTATGGCTTAAGGTTCAATCAACTGCATCATAAATTCATAAGGGAAAATTCACAAGTGCATAAAAGTGAGGGTTTACATCAAATTTCCTTTCTCAAAGATGCTTTCCTTGACCCTCTAGGGAATGCAACCTCTCTCTAATTGCCATTCTATCTATTAGTCTATTTTTTCTCTTTATTATCTTTCTATCTCCACCAGAATCCAAGTTTATTCTGTTTTGGGAGCAAGAACTCAGTTTGTCTTGTATCTCCACAACTTACAGCAGCGTCTAGAACATACAAGTTACTCATTATTTAACTGAATGTCTAACACACTAATTGCCAAACATGGTGCCCATAAAGAAGCATTTAATCTCCTTACATGAAAGATAGAGGCAGTCGCATAGGGATATTACCATAAAAAATAAAAATTTGTTGAATAAGTGAATAAATGATTGAGTGAATGAATGGGTATAGGTATATGATCAATTTTAAAACTCAGCTGTAGGCTGAAAGTAGGAGATAAAAGTTCTCAGTTTGGAGTTTCTATAAAATGACAATGACATGTTTCAGAGGCACTTCCATTTTGCATCATTCTTTAGATACCCAAGGTTCTAAACCAAAGAATGAAAATAATTCAAAGTTCCCAGTTCTCTTATAATTATCAGTAGTTATTGGAAGCAGCTTAGCTCACCTCTGTCTTCCCTAATTGAACATGTACCATGCATCTCTTTCCCACATGCCTTTTCTGGTTGTATACAGCTATGCAATTCGTCCTGTCTCAAATTATCTGGACAATTAACACATATTTATTTGTACCATCATTATCTCTGTCACAACAAGCCATATTGACCTTTCCATGTGATAGATATGGGTGCTGGGATGGAGGAGAATTTGCATTGTGTTAGGTGGAATAATGCAACCCTCTCTCACCCTAATAGGATATAGAATAATGTCCACATCCTATTTTCAGGACTTATTGATACCTTACATGTCAAAAGGGACTTTGGAGATATAATTAAATTAACAATCTTGAGGTAAGGGTTATTGTGGATTATGCAGTTCAGTCAAATGTAATCACAACCTCTCTTTACGAGAGAGGCAGAAAGGTTGGCATCAGAAAAGGTAAAATGATGACGGCAGCTAAGATTGGAATGATACAGGGCTACAAGCCAAGGAATGTGGGCAGCTTCTAGAAGCTGAAAGATCAAGGAAATAGATTCTGTTTTAGAAACTCCAGAAAGAAATAAGTCCTGTTTACACCTTGATTTTAGCCCAGTGAAACTTATTTCAGGATTTTGACCTTCAGAACTTTAAGATATTAAATCTATATTATTCAAAGCCAGTAAACTTGTAATAATTTGTTACAGAAGCAATAGAAAACTAAATTTAAGAAATGGGCAGAATGTGAGATCTCATCTCGAGGAGCTTAAAGAACAA